TTTTCTCTTGAAGATCCATGTGACTAACTCAATGGCTCTCCCATGAACTCCATCCAAACTATGCCCCAAAGAAAAGGGGTGTGTGTGTGTGTGTGTGTGTGTGTGTGTGTGTGTGTGTGTGGTGTTTTACTGGGGTTTTAACCTAGAGTCTTACACATGCCAGACAAGCACTTTTCTGCTGAACTACTTCCACAGCTTTTTCTGTTGTTTTGCTTTGTTTTCTTTTTGTTTTTGCCCCAGCTGGCCTGTAACTCCTATGTAGACCAAGCTGGGCTTGATCTCACAGAGATCCACCTATCTCTACTTCCTGAGTGCTGGGACTAAAGGTGTGTGTCACCACACCTGGTTCCCCAGCCTTTAAAAAGAACTATTTATTTTGAAACAAGATCTCATTAAGTTGCCCCAGTCTGACTTGGAACTCACTGCTGCCTAGGCAGTCCTTGAATTTTCGATCCTCCTAAGAAGGGGGCTTAGACGTCTGGGACATGCTTAGATGACAGCACGCAGATCCCATCAGACACCAGGATTTATATCCAGAACAGCCTTGGGAACACTGTCTAGGAAATGTCATCTCTTTATTAAACCAATACCAATGGCAGGAGTTTAGTGAGGGACCCAGCCCACAGCCCCTTCAAAGGGTTGATTCATCCCTCTTGGGTTCTTTAGGCTTCATCCTTATTCTCGTCTTCACCCACCTGGCCCTGGCGAGGAAGAAGGACCTGGATCAGCCAGCAGACAGTGTGCCCCTGAAGGCAACAGCGTGAGTGATCCAGACATTCCCCAGCTGGGAGGTTGGCCCCAGCCCCATATGAACTCACTAAGAAAGAACCTAGTGTCAAGATCCACTGGGGACCAGGACAGAGTAAAAGCCCTTCACTTTTCTGAAGTGGAGGCACTGTCACCAGACATGACCCAGAGTCTGAACACTGGGATAGCTGTGAGAATATTCCAAATGGCAGCTTTTTGTCTAATAATAAAGGCTCAGAGAGCCTGGCTGGGTCCTAAAGGATGGCTGTAGCATGTCTGCACATTCACATGTGCATGGATGAGTGAGCACACAGAGGCCTCTTCACGCCCTCTCTATCTCCTGCTACACAGAATAGGTCAGAAGGCTTGAAGGGTAAGACTAGGGTCCCTTGTGAAGAAGGACACAAGGGCATCATCTAAGCTGTTGCTGAGATCTTGAAGCCAAAACAAGGTGGGTCATTTCCTTGGGCCTCCAGAGCCCACCAGCCACAGACCCTGGAGTGTAACTATACAGGTGATGGTGAGAGCGTCCTTCAGGGAATGTGCCCTTGTGTCCTTGTGTTCAGGACATCTCTTTGCAATGAGCAGGTACAACCATGTGAATTCATGTCCTCTGTTCATGTGAGAGCACTCGGGTCCTTGTGCTGGAGCCACCTTGCACCCAGGATGAGCAGAGCTCCCCCCAGTCTCAGGAGGAGTGTTGAGGGCCCCATGAGGCAGGGACGGGAAAAGTGGAGCTAAGGATGGATCCTTCTGCCCCATTCAGGCTCTGTATTACTTCTTGGTCTCACACACAGGCTGGTGAGCATGTGGGAACGTTCGCAGAAAGTAAGTGGATGGAGTCACTCAGATGGGCACCATTGGGGTGAGACAGGAGCCCCCAGTGGCTCACTTTGGAGCTGGCCCAAATGAATCCCTGCTTCTATCTCAAGATTAAGCCATGTCCCCAGGGTCCTGACCACAACCTCAGACTATCTGTGATGCCTACTGCTAGACTGAACCCAGGCAGACTGATTCCACATGTCCCCTACCAAATGGTCCCTGTGGAGCTAGGGTGGAACTTGGTGTCCCAAGCACCCTGAGTTGATGATGGTAAATCATGGGGAAGGGAGAAAACAAGTTCAGTGGGGCCCAGCCCTATTTTTAGGAGATAATCTCTCCGCTGCTGGCAGATGCTATGGGATGGGGGCCAAGCCCAGACTAGAAAGGCAAGGTGGGTATCCTGGCTGGCCTGGGGGGAGTCTGTACATGGACTCTGGAGCCACTCTCAATCACCCTGACTGACACTCAGGGACACACACACACACACACACACACACGCACGCATGTTATTTTTACTGAATCACAGAACACACACACACACACAAAGATCACCGCAGCTCAAGTAAGGCTTCCCCCGATTCTCTGCTTAATTTGCACTCACTCAAAGATGTCTTCACATGCAAAAGGCTCTTTGGAGGTAGCATCTCATCTCCCTGTTGGCCCCATATTCTAGTGGATGATCTTAAAGGCCAGGGATGTTAACAGGCATACCTGGGAGTCTTGGAACCAGAGTACAAGACGCACCTGTGTGGCTGAGGTCCATGTGACCTTTCTATAAGTATTCACAGCTTTCAGCTGGTCCCTGCTCTCTCAAGATCCTCCAACAGGGCCAAGATCATCTATCTAGTACCTTCTGATAAAGCTGGGAAGGTAGATTAAAAGGAGGAGGGACTGCCCTGGGTTCATGTAGCACCCAACCTGGAACTTTCATGCCCACTGGGCCTTTGTTTGAATGAATGGATGGATATGAGTGGATGAACAGCTGGGTGGGTGAGTGGGTGGATGGATGGATGGATGGATAATGGATGGAACAGTGAGTAAACCTAGGTGATGGGTTGGTCAGTAAGTAGATGGGGAACCAACAAAGAAAAGGGTGAATGATGGGGAGCAAATGAAGGCATCTGTTCCAGTTCAACAGCTTCTTCCTTGAGCTTCCAGGACACAGGCCATTCTGGTCAGCTAGAGCTGCCTATCAGAGTTAAAGTTTCAGTCTCCCTGAGCATCTGTAAACATAAACCTCTCCTGTGATCCTCAGCTCCATTCTAGAGTGGAGGATGAGGGTTACAAGAGGGACACACATGCCTGACTCACAGAGAGAGAAAAACACATTGTCAGAGCCAGTGGGTGCCTGTAGAGATTTATGCTAATGAGTTGGGCCTTATGCAGGCAGACAAGGTTCACACTACACCACAGTGAAGCAAGGTAGGAGATAAGCCCTGCCTCTTCCTTACTGTGTACTCCCAGATAAATCACTTTATCTCTAAGCCTCAGTTTACTGGTTTATAAAATGGGATTTTAGTTGGGCGTCATGCTGTGGCCTTTGGTTCTAGCACTCAGGACGCAGAGGCAGGGAGAGCTCTATGAGATGGAGGTCAGCGTGGTCTACACAGCGAGTTCCAGGCCAACTGGGGCTACAGAGAGACTCTATCTCAGTCAACCATCAATCAAATAAAATGGGGTTTTGGGGGAGCCAGGCTTGGCGCTTAGCACAGAGTCAGGCACACCATAGGAGCTCAGTAATTATGGCTCTCCCCAGCTCATTAAAAATGCCTGCAGCCCCATACCCATGTTACCTAGAGGCACTTGAAGTCCGTGCTTTGGGGAGGGAGTATGGAGAAGTCCCAGATCCAGCACCCACTGGTCTTCTGGGTCACCAGTCTGGGTGCTTTCTGGTTCTGTGATGCAAAGGGTGTCACAGCGTTCTAACTGGGGTAGGGTGATGGAGGATCAACCCAGCAGAGGCTTATGCGCCCCCTCTCCCAGGCCCCTTCCAGAGGCATAGGGCCAGATCAAAGGGACCCAGCACTGAAGCCCAGGAGGCAGGCTTGGAAAGAATGTAAACATGAAGATATTTTTAAACTTTTTCCAGCCTCAGCGATAGAGCTCTTGAAGCTAGGGCCCCAAGGTCACTCTGGACCTCACCCCCAAAGAATGAAACAGTACTGGGACCCCAGAGACCCCCATGCACCCACACCTATCCCAGGGCTCTATCTTGGGCCTCAGGGAAGTTCTTCCTGTAGTCTCACTGCTGCTGTGGGCAGATGTTTCTGACGAAGGGCCTCAGGGGTTTGACAGGACCGCAAAGATGCAGGAATGGTGGGGACCCACCTGCAGCACTGCAATGTTGGGAGACAGCCTGGGACCCTTGGTGGCCCTAACACTGTGTCAGCCTTGTTCAGTTGTGAGCCTGAAAGAGTGTGTGTTCTCTGGACTCATCCGTATGGGGTGAAAATGTTC